ATGTTGTAGCTTGACATAACAGACAGCACAACACACCCACTCACCAGGTTTCTCGGTTCTTTTCCTTTGCCTCTCTCTCATACTTCTCTAAGGTTCTCTTATCTACCATGCCTGTAAGGTACCTGATGGTGAAGAAGGAAAGACAAGAAAATATGAGACAAGAGCGATTATGTATTTTCACCTGCAGTAAGATGGAGTACACTAAAACAAAAACAGCGCAACTTACATGATTTGTCCACCAATAGTGGACTTTCCAGCATCTAAAGAGGAAAGAAAGGTTGTAGGTTAGTAAGCGCAAGATGGGGAAGCAAAAAAAAAAAATCAACAAACAAAAAATCCCCAATTAATAGTTTCATCCAACTTCTTTCAAATTCTCCCCAACCATTCATTTTCTGTGTTGTGGCCGTTCATGTTGCGGGTTCCTCCTCAGCTAGGTTCACATTACAGGAAAGTCCAAAAGAGATTGTTTTTTTTTTTTTACCAAATGCGATCTGTATCAGATTTTTTTTTTTTTAATGCTGCAATGACGTGAGGTAATCTTTAGTGACGTCACCATGAAACGAGAAAATCCTCACCATATTTCCACAAAATATTGATGATACCTCATCTTGCATCACTCCTCTGGAGATTAAAAAAAAAAAAAAAAAAAAAAAAAACAGCCCCGACCACATCAGTGGCCCTTACATATTCGACCATATTTAGTTCCGTAAACATTACTCTGAGCAAAGTCATCGCTTCTTCTGCACATGCGAGTCACTTTGGGGACGCATATGTTCACACACAAAACTTGCTTACACACACACACAAGTGCAAAAATATTGCATTTCAAAATCCGAACTGAGCATTAAGACCTGTTGTGTGTGCCTCGCCCTAGATTCTTATTTTTTTAATGATTCCTAAATTTTAAGGCTTTGGCAAACTATAAATGATATTAACTTTCTATCTGACATATTTTTAAACAAAAAAAAAAGTATTTCTTTGATTAGTTCAACTTATTTGACAATTTAACGCAGAGGCACAACTTTAAATGGTGAATAAGACCTTTGGCATGGAAGAAACAAACCCCCCACGTGCTACTTTTGAATGCATCTCAAAACATAATCGCATCAAACTCAAGCCGTTCAGAGGAAAATTAAAGACCGATACCAATATCGGTAACAGCGTATCTCAAGTTATGAGCCCAGATTGTGAGTTGTCCCCTGTAATGTGACATTTTGCAGAGGGGAACACCCCCACGCCCCACAATAAACTAATTTGCCGTTGTTTGGTTGTTGCGCTGATGAAACCGTGCCGCAGGTAATTCCATGCATCCGTGTCAACTTCTTCGTTCTTACTTTTCACCAGCTAAGTAATGCGATTAATGCTGGTTTGCAGTTCATTTCAGCCACTATTCATGTTTACTTCAGCAGTCACAGAACGGCTGACTGGGTTGCATTCAGGGAAACAGTGTAAATGAAAGTGAACGGATGTTCTCTTTCTTTCTTCCCATTCGGTATATTGGACAGAAATGGTGGTTATGGGGGATTTTTCACTTGAATTGTATGGATGAACACACTCTAAACAATCACACAGTTGTAATTATTGATTTTGTTTTGTAAAATGTGATAAATTATCCAGCTCCATGCGAAAAAAACATCGTGAATTTACCTGTTTCACAACTATACAAGACTTACTAAAGTTTCACCATGGTGCCTTATATTTTAGCATTATAGAAAAGCCTTTTGTACTTTATTTAAACTATGCATCACTGATATGCTACACATTTTAAAAAGTGTATCTGTAGTTTTATTTGTGTTACTTTGCAACAAGAGTGCTGAATTGTGGGGTTTGACAGTAGAAGTGATCCCATTTACACAGCGACGTAAATTTCAGTCCATATGTACCGCATGTGCTAACGGCAATGTTGTGCAGAGCGAACAGGGCAATCTACCCAAGAAAGACCAAAGTGTTCTTATAAACAGGTGCATTCATCACAAATTCGGAGTTATGCATTAACTGACCTACGTGTCCGATGAACACGACATTTATGTGTTCCTTCTTGGGGGCGTCAGGTTGTGTAGGGGGAACCTTGGGCGCAAGCATTTCCTCTTCCTCTTCCACCATCTCCGACCCCATCTCCTCAGTTGTTGCTACCACCACTGGCCCGCGGTCACCACAGCACCGACCTCCTGGCTCTTCCTCATTTGGTTCAACTTCTTTCTGATCCCATGGTTCCTCTGGTGTCATTTCTGTGTCACCATTCTCCAATCGAGCTGCATAAAATTTCATATTTATTTGCACATTTTCTTCTCCAAATCATTATACAAAAGTTTCTTGCATACTTTCTTCTCCAAATAATTATCTTATCAAGTTTATTGCATACTTTTATCATTACAAACATCTCCATTAAGCGACACCAACTCAGATGAGGAATACTGTGTAAGAATAATTTTGATGATGGTTTTTCTGCAGCATACCAACAGCAACCAGAACAATTGATTGCACTTAATATAGTGCAGCAGTAACTACTTCTGCATTTTTATAAAATAACTTGAAATTGTGTATTTTGCTGTCTGGCATCAGTTTAAGAAAATATGGCTTAGATAAGTGGATATCAATTGCCACAGTTCACTTTTCATCTCCTCTCAAATGTTTACTTTGCAATTACAGTTTAAATAAATATTTATTAGTGCTTATTTGATTATTTTCACAAAGTTCGGGTACAGGCAGGCTGCACTACAATTCGACACTTTGTAGTTCATTTTTTCAGTATCTTATGAACACATTTATTACCTGTTACCTATGATCAAAAGAGTTCTGATTTAAGTTAATGAGGAAATGCTTATGTGAGAGTGATTGGGTATTTGAAACAATTTCTTGGAAGCTGATGATCACCTACAATTTAACACATTTGGAGAGAAGCGCATTCAAAGAGAGGGAGCCATCCTATATTATTACAGGACTTGCTCTGACATTGTCTGTACAGTACAGGACAACAAACATCAAGAAACTAGATCTCACTGCTGGAATGCTCGCTGACACTCACGCTTAAGACACAGACCATACATACCAGCACTTTCTGTCACCTCCATGGTGGCTATTTTTTCAACAGCAACTGAAAAACAACATGTCTGTTACTTCAAAATAATTAAATTAGACAGGAATTAATGTTCAATACTCGTAAGCGCAACTATTTTGTTTCCACAGGGGTCGCAAGCCACTTGTGTTGCTCAAGGAAGTATACAATTATTGCAAATTGATTTTGTTGTATATTTGTTCAGCAACATGATTATTATTTAGTGTCAACGACATGTAACTGGCTATCCTTTACACCTTCTTATGAGTAGTGTCGGACACTGCGTAATTAGCGCTCAGACTTGTTTACGTGTAGAAACTAGCCTTAACGAATGATTCAATGAAACTTTAGGCGTCACCGTGTCCACGTCACATCGCACTAAGGTCAACACGCAACATAGCCCAAGAAGGTTATCTTTACCCGAATAATTCAATGTGCTTGTATCTTGTTGTTAAATATGACAGCAGTTCTAAGTTTCACTCACTTTCCTCTTCCAGTGACGTGTACCGTTAGAAGTAACGGTTGGTACGCCACACAAACCTAAGAGGGCGGAACAAGTGTTCAGCACTCTTATCATGAAACCACACCGGCTACCTTAGCATTAGTAGCTAACAAGCTAATGCCGGTTGGGATCCAATAGTCATTCAACACATCTAGAAAAAAAGTGATATAATAGCACAACAAGTGTATATACACATTACATGAGATAAAAAACAGAGCAATGCTTTCAGTACAGTGCACCGAGCGTCCTATCATAATAGAGCGCACAGTTGTTGGAATATACTAACGCGTGTCTGTAGTGTAGCTCGAGGGTTAGCACCTGCACAGTCGTGCTCATGTTAACGACTAGCTTGTTGCTAACGTTGCTACCCAACGTGACAGTCGGCTTACCCATTGAATCGAGATTTTCCGAGTGTGCTTTCATGGCAAACGTCGGGACAAATTCAGCGGCGTTCACATTGGGAACAAAGGGTTTAGCGTTTACATTTAAGCTTGTGAAAGCAGACTCAAGCTGTCCGTCGATTGTGGCCTCCACATCGTCCTCTTGTTCCCAAGAATCAGGGGCAGTGTCTCTCGGGTCCATCGTGGGTTTTGAATTTTCACTAGTGAGATTTGAGCTACGCAGTTTTTAGGCTACGTTCAGTGTCCACCCAAATCCCGGTGTTCAGGCCACACCTTTGACTGATATAAAACGTCCCAACTCGAGGAGGAATGTTTTCAATCCGACCTAGGTGAAATTAAGCGGCCGGTACGATCGGTGGAGACGCCAAAGAGGATATTCGACTCAGCACTCCCAGAGACAGTCCGCGTGAGCTCTTGCGTCCCTTCAACCGGACGTGCTGTGCGCAATGACTTCTGGGTTATGAAGTCTAGAAATGGAGAAGAAAGTTGTATTTCGCGAGTCCTGAAATCAAGAAGACTACATGTCCCATATACGCCAGTGATACTTTTCATAAGAAATTGCGTCTGTCCTTTAAAAAATGAGTTTGTAATGTTCTCATGGTGGAAAATACTTTGAAATGTAGAATGACTCAGTTTGAAACGCAGTCATTAGTTGGGCAGGCGACGATAAATTCATTTATATATAGATTTCCCCCCCAATTGAGAGTACAAAGGAATATAAAAAATTCCAACCTAATTAAAACAGAAAATAATAATCGCTATATTTTAAATTGATTTCCCTTTCTCTGATTAAGAACGTAACCTTTTATCTGTCATTTGTTCTTGTTCAAGTTCTCATGAGGTTTGACCCTACATTTAAAAAAACTGTTCTACTGTATCTTGTATTGGCAATATTGCATCCGATGAAAGTGGGCTGTACGTTCCACAAGGACGTTTCAACGAAACGTGTTCAGAAATACTTTATACTCACCATAGGGAGCATTTGGGAAGGTGAGGGGTGTTTCATTATTATATACAGCCAATAAAAAAACATTACAACAGGTTGGTCTATAGGATATTGTATTAAATCAAGGTTCTTCATGAAAGACTGGAAGGTTACAAAGTTCGAGACACAACTTTACATTATCATCATCTGATGTGAAATCAAGCATGGGTTTAATTTACATCATGTAAGAAATTATTTACAAGTGCAATTAAGGTAAATGTAATCAATTTCATTCTCATCACAATAACTTAATTCTACCAACACAATGTATTTCTAACCACAAAAGTTTGTACTTCAATATCTTATCTCAATACTACAGAAGGCCCTGGCTCAGAGTACTTCAGTGTGACTTTATCTGGTACTTTTCTTTGATATACATTTAACAGTTGGCAAGGTATGTATAAAAAAAAAAAAAAAGTTTGCCAGGCCAGACTAGTTCTCAATCTCACCAAATTCCAATTGGTATTGACAAACTGTCAATTGATCACCAATTTAAACAAGATTTCCAAAAATGCCTTTTCCCACATTGAAAATTTGATATTGGATAATAATCTAAACATTTGCAGAACGTAATATTTTCTACCAGCTTTTTTTGTGAAGTATAATTTGCAAATGAACATGACATTAAAATATCTTGCATCGTTGAGCTCAACATCCCCTTAGGATAGAATACAAGGTCACAAAAGTTCCCTGACAAGTAACACAAAAGATCTATTTCAAACTACAAGTTTTCCCTTTCAATGTTGGCCAGAAGATCAACTGGTACATTTACAAAGAGATCCTGTGGTTTGCTAAGTGAGAGGTGCGGCAAGACAACTCATGGATGCTTCACCATGACAACGTGCCTTCCATGAGAAAATGAAACCACGGCAGAGAAAACTGGTAAAGTGTATTAGTTCTTCTCATTTACTTTAGTACATTTTGCAAATCAGATATTAAATTGCCAAAGTACTTGTTCAATCTATCATGTGTCACTTGTGCACATCAAAAAAGGCAAATTTTCATTTTTTTTGACGTTTTCAAATGCTTTACTACATCCATGCAGATCATGTACAATTCACCGAGGATGATCAAGAAATGTACAAAAGTGATTCGGAAAAACTTGAGAGCCCATGGGAATTACCTCGAAAGGGAAAACTTGTAGTTTAAATTCCATCTTCTGTGGCACCAGTCCATGAACTTTTCTCACGCACCTTGTATATTCTATTTTTAGTTCCCATATCATGATCCATGACTATGACATGTGCTAAATGTTAAGTACTTTGAGCCAGGTCAGGTGGGATATCTTTTGCAACAAAAAAAAAAAACTGTAAATGCAAAAACATATTCTTGTGGTCATGATGAAAATATAAATGCTTTGGAGGGTCGTGTAGCAATTAAAGTTTTTGCTTCAGTGTGGCTATGGCTGCAATGTGGTTGCATATATTTTGAAGTTATATTTTTAAAATAATCCTTTACTGATCCTCCCACCAAAATACCATATTCTGGTAAAATATACACAATTTTTATCATTTTCTATGCTATAGCATTATTTGTAATTTGTGTCTCAATTAGGTTTGCATAGACATAGCAAAGGTAGATGACATTTATGTGTATGGTGTGAATAGAGTTAGTGTTGTGCAATGGCATGTGTCCAAAATCATCATGCATGCGGTCAGGCTTTTCTGCATTACAATCACAGCAGTGCACCAAGCGGAACTGTTCTAATACGCTGTATCCCATTTGTGTAGCTCTTTCCTCATGCAAATTAATTAGCATCCCTTCCACAATCAAGCCTTTATGACCTTGGAATCTCCCACAGAGCTGAAAGAATCGGCATCTACAATAAGTGAGGTCTTCAAGGGGACTCAAAAACAGTTCCTCTGAATTTATGGATAGTTAACCTAGTGCAATTAATGTTTTTCTTAAACATCCCAAAATAAGCAACAACCAATCAAACCACTGCACTCACGACAAAAATTTGACCAGAATGGGCTGTTTTGGTGGATGCGATGGTGATTGAATGTAATGCAAGATCTTATCTGTCTCGTCACTGATGGTGCTGCAGTTCACTTAGATCACAGGTGTCAAACTCCGGTTCTTGAGGGCCACTATCCTGCATGTTTTAGATGTTTTCCTCCTCCAACACACCTGATTCAAATGATCAGAATCGTTATCAGGCTCCTGCAGCGCATCATGATCTCATCATTTGAATCAAGTGTGTTGGAGGAGGGAAATATCTCAAACCTTCAAAATAGTGGCCCTCGAGGACCGGAGTTTGCCATCTGTGACTTGGGACTGTTACCATTAAGGGATGGTGTTAATGTGAGTGTGAATAGTCCTTTTGTTTATATCAGTCATTTGTTAATTTATGTGTCCTGTGACTGACTGACTTGTGACCAGGGTGTTCTGTGCCCATCGCTTTAAGTCCTGATCTTGGACCTTCCATCTTCATAGGTCAAACAAAAATGTGTGTAAATACAATGTAAACTACAGCCATTGGTATAAGTGGAAGTGATTAGAAAAAAGCATCACAGTGTTACAATGTTCGCTGATATCCTTTCCAACCTCATTGGACAGACACTCTTGAGAGAAACAATTAGACCATACTAATTAGGCAACTTTACTCTTTCATACCAGCATAAATGCCTAATTTACGTATAAAACGTCTTGTTAATGAGTTAGGCTGGTACCATTATGATGGCTGGCCCTCTTGGCCTTCAAGCTTCCTCTCCTCCAAGAATGCTTTGTCCTCCACCTGGCCATGCTGTTTCTGCTGAGACGAGTCCTGAATTTCTTCTGGAATGCACTGACATGCAGAGTCAACCTCTGGTACACTTAAAGAGGGTGAGTGGATGCTGGTTGACCCCTCAGCTTGTCCAATTGAGCTGGATTCACTCAAGGAGTCAGAGCCTGCACCTGAGCGCCGAAACAACTTCTGACCTGTGATGGAAAAGAGCATTATTCGATCGTGATGCATTGGGAAGAACAAAACATATCCAACAAGACACGTGCAAGTGATGTTCTCCTTCCTCAAACGCATCACAAAGCACTGTTTGTCTTCAGTAGTTTTGTACAGTGCTACCTTGCAGTCTCTCCAATGATGAGGTGGAAGAGTCTTTCAAGGGAGGCCTGCCTGACTGGGCCTTGGTAGAGTATGTCACCTCTGTGGAGTCCAAAGAACCTATGAATAATAATATAGTGAGTATAAATAAGAACCCTATTAAGCAGGGGTGGGCATTACATCAGTATTGATGGAAGCTCTGTCAGTCCGTCACTGACAGATGCCCGATTTTCTGACGAATAATGATGGATGACAAACTTTTTTTTTTAATTAATTTTTTTGGGGGATGGATTAAGCACTGAGATGATTTTTCCTCTGTGAGTGTAATAGTCACTAACCGGGCACTTTACTAACAATGGACCTGAACGATGGAGCAGAAGAAGAGAAAGAAGTAGAAGATGAACCAGAAGAGGAGCAGAAAGAAGAAAAAGCATTGATTGATTGTCATGGCAACCTGATTTTGGTTTTCAGAAGGACTGGGAAGCACACTTAGGGAACAATGTGACATGGGATTCTGGTTATGGTTAACAAAACTTTGAAGGAAAACATTTTAGGAGGTAAAACAGTGGTAGGCTATTGACTTTTTTTTTTAACAGATTGATGTTGTTTATGAACATACAAATCAAGTTTACTGAAGGAAGTGATGACGAAACCGTGGTTAAAATAACATGCCCAACTGACGCCGACGGTTTCGTTCGGCCTGAAATAATGATCGACTGACTATGACGGACAGGTACAGAGGCCGCTGATGAATGACAGACTGGCAAAATTTAGTAAATTGCCCACCTCTGATATTAAGGATATACCACCTAATCCAGGGGTGTCAAACTCATTTCACATTGTGGGTCACATACGGCCTCGGTAGATGTCCAGTGGGTCGGACCATTAAAAGTATACCATACTCTGCTATGAATAATCAAAATAACATGTCTTTCCTTTGTTTTGGTCTAAAGAAGCACAAAAACATTAGGAAAATGTTGAAATGTAATGAACATATCTTTTACAAAACATTTCATGAAGCACCTTAGATTTCCTTTGACAAATATGCAATTTACTTTTATCATTCACATATATGCATTGCAACTGATCGCACTGTGTGTTCAAAGGCACAAAACTTTTAACAAGTACCGTAAATTCCGGGCTACAGACCACACCTGATTAAGAGCCGCATGCTCAGATTTATGAAGAAAAATCAATTTTGTAATTATATGCGCCGCACCGTACTATAAACCGCTGGCCAATAAGTAGGCGGGGGTTTGCTTCTGCGTCCCTGCCGCCGGGAGCCTCCGGGTGAGGCCGCTGACGTGGTCCCTGCTGAACCCCCGCAGAAAAAAAACGCAACATTTCTTAAAGTTAAAATAATCTCCATACTTTTATGAGCATGATAAATGCATTTGCACAACGAAATTACGCTGAAACACATAAGAGGTCAGACAAAGAGAGATCTTGATGCGCATTTGCGTAATTACGAGGAGAAATACTGCAGCCCACTAGGCTTTAAATAGAATAATGCAAATCATATAAATGGGAAAAGATATATGAAATTATTTCT